ACACCCCAAGAGAAAGAGGGTGGCGTGACATTCTGTGGACTGGATCTTAACGGTGCATACTGCACCCCATTCCCAATTATAACCCAGTATTTATTGGGTTTATAATTCTGAGATTCACTCACATTTTCTTGATTGGTGTATGGTTGGTTTTGACACAATAATTGAGAGCCAATACACACCAAACCACCGTGCTAATCATTGAACAATCTCACCTCTCTCAAACAAGGGAAACAGAGTAAATTATCTGAGTCGCAGAAAGGGAGAGATGTCGGTGGAAAACTATGTTTTTATGAGCCAATACTGGATTTGACAATACAGATGTTGGCAAGAATGAAAGGAATCTCAGTTCAGTTTTGAAATAGGTATATTTTCACAGGGAACGTGTCTCTTCTGGGAACCTTTAATTTAATATACATTGGTTTCCTATTTTAAGAAAACAATTTGCTGTTAAACACTATGCCAGCCAGACTTACATTTTTTAAGCAAAAACTCTTTGTCCTGAAGTATTTTAATGGCCTAAAAAGCAGGAAATTGCCTGTGACATTTCAGTTTTTCCATTCTAAGGGAAAAATGGTCCAAGATCTAAAAATAGCTCTTTCCTGAAAAACACCCTCCCTCTCATCATTGTAATGTAACATAAGCCATGTGACAACAAAGACATTTCTTTCTGAGCCTAGCGTTGTTTTTAATCAGCTAAAGAACTCACAATCAGCAATTAAGGCTGTCTTCATGTAAAACTGCTGACTTGGATAAAAATGTTGTTCAGTGACTTCACCCGACGGATTTGAGGACCTACCCTGCGGTACAATGTCTCCAGTTCCTCCCTCTGCCTCTACTTGAACACAAATGCTGTTGGTCAGAATTGCGTATTCACCTGGGGAGGAAGTCTCAGTAGGCTTTGTGCTGTTGGCTTGTTTTACTATTAGGTGCTTTTCAGCTCCATCCACTATCTGAGCACCCATCTTTGAGAGCAATATCGAGTATGTATTCACACTCATTTTGGTCTGCGGCCATGAATGGACAGGTGGGTAGATGGTGTGCATAAATAAAGGTAACAAAACACATCACGTGGTAGACCAATGCCAAGGAGCGTGTTAGGGCAGCCAAAGATGGGTGCCTTGTCATTACGCCTAGGTACCCGCAGAACTTGGCGGGAGTCTCGGTGTTCAGATCACTCCCCCAGCAGTGAATTCAGACATGTGAGTGAACCACAAGATCCTTGTTTATTGTCAAATCAGAAAAAGTAAAGCGGGACTGGTTTCTGTGTCGGCTGAGGCCAGCGAGGAAACATTCCTAGACGGGGTGGAGCCCGCCGGCAGCTGGGTGCTGTCGCTGGGGAGGCAGCAGGTCCCTGTCGGCACCCAGCTGGGAGATGATACCATCTCTTTGGTGGTGAAATTGGCTGAAGAGGTTCCTGCCCCTCATCTCTCTGCCTGGAGGCCCCGACTGCTCACCCCTGCCTTTGCATTGCAGCTCGCTGCCCGTCCTCGATGGTGCTACTACAAATGATTGTGGCGCCAGGCAGTAGCGCAGGACCCAAAAGCAATCTAGGTTAAAAATAGCCTTGCAAAAACGTTTTGCATTTTTGAGTTTTAAATCGAAATTATTTCAGCTGCCTGATTTTGCAGACAGCTCTAAAAATAGTTATTCAAGCACAACTGACACGGCAACAAACCGACCTACTGAAAGGTAACCTAGCTTCTCAAGTTCTAAAACAAATGTGTCATGAAAATATGCACAAAGAAACTATGCCTCCTTGCTGGCGAAGTAAAAGCATGGGAGCTTTACTTTCCTCCAATACCAAGATCTTAATGAATGCAAACATTCACTAAAATTTAATGAATCACACAGCCTTGAGGGATGAAGATTAGAGAGGCTGGATCCCATTGATATCAATGGAAGCTTTGCCTCTCCCTTGTTTTGAGCTAAGATGGTGTTTTCCTCCTACCTTTTCTTCAGGGAAGGACTGGGAGTTTTCATACAGCCTGGTATTTGACCACAGACGATATTTTATCATGTATCAACGTATAATCTGGACTACGTGACTGTGAATAGACTCCTGTGTTAGAGGCCTAGGAAGTGCGGTGGGAAAGCGTGCCCAGAGCTCCATCTGGATCACCCCTCTGCCGCGAGACAGGCTTGCTCACACCCACCGCCTTCATGGCACTGTTTGTCTAAACTTCTTCTTGACAAAAAAACGTTATTTCAAAATCCCACACATCTCCTTAGGTAATCCCTTCCAGTATTTAGCTGGGGCATCTCCTCACCATCTAGCCTACTCTTGACACCCCACTGGCGTTTCATAGCCACGCATCAGGACGGATGAACGTAAGCCCCAGTGGAAACAGCTGCGGCAGCAACGCAGAAACTCGGCGCGTGTCTGGCGTTGTTTGTCGCTTTTTCTTTTAGCCAAGAAGAATAACTGTAAATCGAACCCAATCTTCTAGTGAATACAGCTAACAAATGCAGTTGGGGTTATTGACATTTCTGTGCATACGTGAACTCAAAAAAGTTGAAGCGCGAGACAGGCTTGCTCACACCCACCGCCTTCATGGCACTGTTTGTCTAAACTTATTCTTGACAAAAAAACGTTATTTCAAAATCCCACACATCTCCTTAGGTAATCCCTTCCAGTATTTAGCTGGGGCATCTCCTCACCATCTAGCCTACTCTTGACACCCCACTGGCGTTTCATAGCCACGCATCAGGACGGATGAACGTAAGCCCCAGTGGAAACAGCTGCGGCAGCAACGCAGAAACTCGGCGCGTGTCTGGCGTTGTTTGTCGCTTTTTCTTTTAGCCAAGAAGAATAACTGTAAATCGAACCCAATCTTCTAGTGAATACAGCTAACAAATACAGTTGGGGTTATTGACATTTCCGTGCATACGTGAACTCAAAAAAGTTGAAGAATCAGCCATTTCCTGTTCGTATTGTTCAAGTTCAAATTTTTCAAGTTCAGATTCCTTGACAGGGAATATTGGTGGTTTATTAGTGTGGGGAAATGCTGCTATAAACACATGGATAGATTTTTTTTTTCCTTACAACTACAATAAGATTAATATTATAGTAGGCCCTGCAGGAAGAAATAACAGTTCTATTGACTTGCCCATTTAAAAATGAAACCTACCAACATTGTGAAGGATGTAGAGTAGAAAGCAAACTATAAACAATATAGAGTAGACAAGACAATCACTTGCCTTCATTGAAACACCACTTGACAGTGCTTCACAGCATTGTAAACAGTCCAAAGATACACCCTTGCAGCAGATGAAAAAATTACCAGCGATGAGATAAGCCGCTTTTTCAGAAAAGACTGGAAGACCGCTTCACAGCATTGTAAACAGTCCAAAGATAAACCCTTGCAGCAGATGAAAAAATTACCGGGTCTGAGATAAGCCACTTTTTCAGAAAAGGCTGGAAGACCAGAGAGGAAATGAAGGTGCTGGAGAGATTCTGTCTAGACAGTCTGTACGTCAAAGTTGAGACCGTGTGGAAGAAGTGGAAGAAAAAAATCGAGTGCTAGGACAAGCTGAGGTAGTAATAACGAAGGAAATTTCTTATATCTGTATGCATCTCACGGATTCAGTCAGGGTGAAACTTAGGGCAGAAATGAACAAGGAATCTTGATGAGACAAACAGTGGCAGTGGTAGCCAAGATGCTGGACAAAAAAACCCCAAAACAACAAAAAACCAAAAAAATGGTGCTGAGAAAGAACCTGGAGCACTGCCTTTCTCCTTGAAAGTAAGAAAATAGGAGATTTACAAACGGTTGAGTTGCTTTTCATTCTTTCTCCAACATTCAAAGACAGCAAGACTATTTACCATGAGTAACAGCCATAAGCAGTAAGACCCGGTTTGCTGCCACTGTACCTTTTCTTGTAATGTACATTTTTTTCTTGTATGTTTTTAATGGCACTGGCGTATGAAGCACCACTTAAATGACAGATTAATTTTTTGCCTAATTTTATCTAGCTTAGGTGAAGTTTAGTTGTGTACACCAGAGTTAGCAACTGTAGTTATTACAGTCATTACAGTGGGTTTTAGGGAGCATGTCTTCTTCCAGCCATTCTAGGCATCTATGTTGGAAAAAAGACTGTATTTGTCTCTACACTGGCTATAAACAGAGACAGAAATGACTGGTTTAGGGATCGATGTCTACATCAGGTCAAATGAATCATACTCTGAAAGTTGTACTGAATATTCCCGGTTACCGAGACCACTGATTTTGACAGCAGTTTTGTAATAACTTGTAGAAGTTGTTTCCGTCTTTTGCAATACCTTTGGATTCGGTGAAGTGTCTGATGAAGAAGCAAACACTTGCAGACGTTTTGGCTCTGCCTAAGTGAGGAACTAAGAGCACACCTTGCCCACGGGCAAAGATGTTGCAACATAAAATGCAAACAGCTTGAAAGAAAAACAGAAGCATGAAAGGTGCAGCTCTTTTAAGTGCCCTGGAGGAAGACAAGAAACTGGCAAGACCTTTGCAAGACAATTCAGGGAAGACTCACTTGACACAACCATGATGAAACTCATATTGTTGGTACTAAAAGTCTTGACTTGTCACAAAACATACTTCGCTACGGATGTCATCAAATAATGCACAAAAGAGTTCAGGAACAACAAGGACACAAGTTCACATTTAACAGGTGTTATTTCACATTTTTCTAACAACAGGACGGTTAATTCAGAGTCAGCTCTTTGAGCATGGTAATAGCTTACACAAAAAATAAATTAATCAATAGCATTGTGTATACAAAAGACGACAACTGGTAAAACTTGATCACAGTTTCTGCTCAACAGCAATTACCTCAAAGATGAACCTCTTGGTCATATGGGACAATTAGGATGGTAATTCAGCTGGTTCATATAACAAAATAGTGTGGCTACTACAGACTAAAATTAAACTCAGTAGTTCCGTGACTATAAAATCATTCATGCTGCTGTTCTTATCTCTTGAGTGTGCTCTTGTTCTGAAACAGCACGGGGAAGATTTACCCTGTCAGCATTTTGTGATAGGGTTTGCGGTCACCGGAAATCTGTACGAGAGAGAAAAAGTCCCACTTAACAGTAGGAGGATGCCAGCTACGATGCCAACAGGAATGGCAGCACCAGCTTCCTGTGCCACTGGGCTGGAGGGCATGTTGTAAGAAGGAGGAAAAGCAATGCTCTGGTTGTGTGCGACAGAATAGAAATTCCAGCTCACGGGAATCAGGACGCAGAGGCTGGCGAATATGTAGAAGCAGCCACCCACCAGGAAGAAACGGGTAATGAGAGTTTTGCGAGCGATTCCCATATAAACATTTCTCAGAGCAAAAACTGTGGCAGTCAGGCCCAGCAAGCCCGTGCACATGGCAATCAACAGGAGACCCTGAGCGGCGTAAATTTCATGGGGGATGGAGGAGTCGTAGCCACTGAATTTGTGGCAGAACTGTTCTTCATAGCCAGGCGAGACGTGAATGTAACTGATGAAGCAGACTTTCCAAATCCCCACCCAGGCAATGCCAGAGGAGATGATGGTGGTGTTGTCCACGTGCCACACTCTCCATTCCACAAGTCCCATGGAAACAGCGCACAGGATCCAGCCTACTGTGCCCAGAACAAAGCCGGCTAGCTGGAGGTGCGAGCTGCTGACCAGGGACCTCATCCTCGCGCGGTCTTCTACTCAGCCGCAGACACAGTGGCCATGCGAAGAGAGAGAGGCACCGGAAAGGAACAGCATAAAATTACAAAGGCTATTATTTGTGTGAATCTGAATTCAGGTGAACCTGAAAAAGCAGGAGGGAATATGCGTACAGAGGGAGAATGATAGTCATCTTCCCCAAATATAAAGAATTGTTGAAGTTTAATGTCCATAGACAAATAAAATCTAGGCTTTGATTCTGTATATTCTGTTCTATCACAAGGAGCAGAAAGGGCCTGTGATTAGCTCCCATTTTACATTCACAAAAGGAAAATTCACATCTTTTTTCAAGTTATTTTCTTCCTTGGTAATTAACCATTATATGTTCCAAGGTCCTTATGCACATTACGTGTAATCAGGAGCCGTAGAGTACTGGCTCGTAGAAACTAAACCTGACAAACCCCCCAGGATCCTGGCTGTCGCAAGAGACCCCACGAGGCAGCTGCAGAAGCCACGCTCCTCTGCCCTGGCAGCTGTGCGTTTGGTGCAGCAGCCCGGCTCAAACAGACTTCTGCCTGCGCTGCCCTCACCGAGAGCTGCTGGGACCAGTGTCAGGCAGAAAACACCATCGTTCAGAGGTGTGAGCAAATCCGGGCCACAAAGATTAGTAATGGCCACTGAACTTTAACCATTTTCAGATTATTTAACCATGAATGCATTAGCAGAAAGACTTGAACTAATCAGAAATATAATGCTCTGTGCACGGGCTGGAGCCTGGATGTGCTACTGTTGCTTTCCCTCCCTCAAACTTTAAGCAAGATTTCTTTAGTGTTCTGCCTTTGCAGATCACACTCGTTCATAACCTGCCCAACTTCTCCAGTTCAAATCATCCTAATGCTGTGGTGGAAAAGATTTTAGTCATTTAGCCTAGCAAAAGATTTTAGGTTTGTACATTCTGAGTGGAAATTGGGGTTTTATTCTAATTAAAAAGAAAAATCTGTTAATTTCCCACGTCTTTCATACAACCTTCTGAACAATTATAGGAATGATCTGTGATCAGAGAAGATGTGGTCTTAAATTTATTATGTAGATCTGAAAGGTTCTAGGGATCTTTGTATTTTACAAATTAACTAAAATACCTTTTCTCTTGCTCCCACTGCACTGAGGACTGAAGAAATACTGTACCAAGTTCACTCTATTAATAAGAAGATAGATTTGCAACTATGTTTTGTTACTAAAGCAGTGACTTTCCTCTTTACTTCTGTTCAACTAACACATTCAGTCAGTGACACAATCTAGTTGCAAAAATCCATCTGCAGGAATCTTAAATAAAAAATACCTTCGTAACAAAATGTCCTTAAGCAAACACTGTCCGTCTTCTCGTACCAGTGCCTGCTAAATACTTACTTCAGTCCTGAAGCTGATGCCAGTGGTGAGAGGACGGGACAGAGTGGCTTTTGACGCCAGCCAAACACGGCAACATCTGCAGTTTTATCATTTTGGCCTCCCCGTTCATCTGTGTATCTCCGATCGGACTGATTCCCTGCGGGACGTATTAATCTCCATTATTGCAAATGTACATTTAATCCTTTCCAGCGTGGAGGAAATTGCTGTGGGATAGCCTCCTGGGTTTTTGTCTGCTTGAAATGAAACCAGTTTATGAATGCTTTCTCAATCTGCTTCGTTAGTGGTTATAAACCCCGCTACCTAACTAGCAGTTGTTACCAGCCTTACAGCACAGTAGCCCCACAGGACATTGCGAATGGTTTTCTGTCAGTCCCAGTTCCATGTCAAAGCTGCACCATCTCTGTGCGTGTCCAGCTGACGGGGAGACACTGGGCAGAGACGAGTGTGCTCACAGGGGTCCCGCGCTGCCTCCCTGCCCTTGGCTCGCATCAGTTGGGCACACCGAAGCCAAACCTGAACGTATTAAAAACGCCATTTTAAAATACTGTTTTTGTAAAAAGATGTATTTCTGTAACACTGTTTGTGTGCATCATAAACATTCGTTTAAACAACTTGTGGATATCGGGGTCATCAGGGATGGGCAGGCCGGTCCGTGTCGGCGTTACACCCGCTCGGGGTATGACATCGGTGCGTGCCTGCACGGGCTCGGTGTGCTCACCTGCCTCAGTGGGATCGCACCCATGGCTCAGAGCCCTCTGCAAGCCTTCGTGTTACCTGGAATGGTGTGCCGAATTGAATTATGAAATTGAAAATTAGGAAAAGATCCTTTTCCCCCCCCGTGAGATTCACAAAAAAAGCACAGACCAAGCGAACGCGGAGGACGCGGAAGAACTCCAGGCTCGTACAACCCCCCCCGACAAAGCCG